CAAAAAAAGGAAATCGGGGACAAGAATTCTCACTAGGGATGAGAAGAAAAGGGGGTTCTGCTGCTGTTTGGGGCATTGTCACATTGAAAACATTTCATATATTTCTTTTCAAATTGCTGCCAGGTTTGGTTTACAAGCTGGATTTGTGCAGGAATACAAAGAGTTCCTTGCCGAGCTCTCTGTTGGTGAATGGATGGACTGTGGAAGGAAGGGATTTCGGAGCACAGGGCTGGACTGTACTGGTGGGTACCACGGGGCTGCTGCGTGTATGGCGTGCACACAGGTGGTTCTCCCTGCTAACGCCCCGAGCACCCATAAAAAAAAAAAAAATGTCACAGTTCATCCAGATGATGCAGAAACTTAAGGAGCTTAAAAGTAAGTCAATTTTAAAAGCAAAACAACATGAAAAAACAATGAGGATACTTACTAAGAATATCAACATCCATGTAAACACGTTATGTTGATGCTAAAATTTTACATAAGATACCTCTCCTCCTCCGCAGTCCTGTTTTTTTTTTTTTTTTGAGACAGAGTCTCACTGTGTTGCCCGGGCTAGAGTGCCGTGGCGTCATCCTAGCTCACAGCAACCTCAAACTCCTGGGCTCAAGTGATCCTTCTGCCTCAGCCTCCCGAGTAGGCGGGACTACAGGCATGTGCCACAGTCCTGTTTTTCTGTAGAATAAACTTCGGCCCAGTCCAGTGTTGGAGAGAAGGAGCCAGAAGCCTCTAGAATGTTACTACAGTGTCAGGTAGAGGAAGCCCCACAAGTTACAAAGCATAAAATAACACAAAAGTAACACAGCCCCATGGCATAGGTGGGGTCCCACAGACAAAGGATCTGTGTCTTATGTATGTGCATCTGTCATTACCCTGCCAGGAAAAAGAAGCCACAATCTGCAGGATTTTGATGACAGTGTGTTGAAGGATCTCTGGGCAGAGCTGGGTGAAGAAAACTGTGGGGGGATGCTGAAGCCCCCAGGGGAGCTGTGACTCTCCTAAGCCTGCAGATCGGGGGCAGGACAGGCTCACTGGAGCCATCCTGAGCTGAAGAAGGACGAGGGGGAGAGACCCCAGCCTCACTCCTCCTGCTCTACCTCCTACTGGCTGACCCCAAGACAACAAGACAGCAAGGAGGGAACAGTATGGATGTGGGGAAGGTCAGGCCCTTAACAGGGATGTCTGCAATAGACATCCCATGTGTGTGTGTGTGTGTGTGTGTGTGTGTGTGTGTGTGTGTGAGGGCTTTCCCTTTTTGGTCTGGCAGGAAATAATAGGGTCCTAGGCCAAGAGATGTTATAAATGTTCTCTTTCCAAATACATGGATGGGCAAAAGATTAGCTGTCTTATCTTTGACACAGAAAAAAAGAGGAAGGAATGACATAGGAAAAGAGAGGCAGAACTTGAACTAAGTGATAGCTCATGGAAGAATAAAGAGGATGAGGCAGATAACATGAAACAGTAAAGCAATGAAACACGAGAAAGAGAATTGCACTGGACAAATCACTAGTGAAAGGACATAGTGACTGTACTTCTGCAACATAACAATGTGGACTTTAGCTTTTGACCGGGGCTGGGGTAGCTGCAGACTTTGAGGGCCACTGCGGTTGGTTCAATCACATTTGGGAGCAAGGAGAACTTGCAATCCTCAGAAAAGCACATGAGGGTTTGGGTGAGGGCTCCCTGTGTTGCATTTAACCACGTGCTCGTTTTGACCCTGAGTATATTAGTTTGAAAATCTGCCTAGGAAATAGATTCATGAATAATGGTGTAAGTTCCACAGCTTTGCTTTTTCATCTGAATAGGAATATTTATATTTTTTTAGCTCTCCTTAAGTAGACATCAGAAATAAAGCTATCTAGAATAAATTCTCTGTAGTTGTGCTATCTTTTGGATTTCTGCCAAATGACTTTCTATATAGAGCATGTGTTTTATACTATTACATATTAAACCATAGCAAAGCATATACCTTGTATCAGTAGTTTCCTGTATGCCAGACACTGCACTTTACATGATTTAACTCCTTGAATCTTTATCACATCCCTAGTATTTACATCCCATTTTTCAGATTGGAAAACAGGTTCAGATGGGATAAGCAATTTTCTCAAAGTCGCTCTGGTTGTATTAATAAGAGACTCAAGAATCAGTCCAAGTAAGCCAAGCTCTAACCCTGTGATCTTGGCCACTTTATTCTGTAATGTGATTTCTAGATCCCTCTTGGATGAGAGTCTCAAAGAAAGCTTCATATAATTTTACCCCTCAACCATGTTACGGCAAATTTCCCTTCACCCAGGAAATAATGGCTTTCCAACCACTAGCCAAGGAAGGTGCAACTTTTGTTAACAAGTGTCATCCATAATCCTAAATTTCATTCTTCCATGTTTAATTCATTAATTCTCAACTCACCAAGGAGGTAGATGCATTTGGTGTATTGAGAGGTCCCCGGAGTACATCATTAGATCCTCACTTTACTCCAACCATTATTCTTGTATGACTACAGTGAAGTCTCATATTTTCTATTCAGATATTTTTTCAGAAGTTAAAATAGCTTCCTTTATTTATTTTCAAATTTCGTGGATGTTTTGGCAAAGATTATAACAAAACAGGATGTTGAATATGCTCCTCAGGAAGGCTTGTCTCCGGTTATCATATCAACTTACTATCATCCTTAACCCTATTTATAAATGAATTACAAGGGAAGACAGCACCTCCAAAGAGTACTAAGCTGGGGTGTTGTGTGGTCTCTGATAGGCTGGGTGAATAGGGGCAATCTTTATTTAATGCCTCTGAGTCCCAGTCCTTTCATCTATGCAATAGAAACAATAAAGTCTACCCCTGGGGGACACCATGACATTAAGTGAGATAGTCCATTGAAAGCTGCCTAACATGGCACTGACACGTGGTCTATATATGTAATTTAACCTTAGTTCCCTTTCCTTTCTCTTACAGTAGATTCCACTACAACATTCAGAAACAATGTCTCGCCTGCTCTCTGAGCATCATCTGCATCATCTGAGCATCGTCAGCGATGACTGGGACATTGGTCCACCTATCAGCCACTGCTTTGTGGAGATGTTGAGAGCTGGGAATGGCACTATCCTGTAGATTAGGAATAATGTCAAAAATACTGGATTTCTTTCACAGTGCAGCTTTAGAAAATTTGGTAAACATTTTAGACCCCAGTCTATGGCATTGCCATCTAAATGAGGGCTTCATGCTTGATCATTGCAAAAGTCCTCTTTCACTCTAAAAATGCCAATTACACGCTGGCCCCCAGAAGAGAAGAATCCTGTTGTTGAGAGACCCTTAGGTGTTTATTTGATTTATGTATCCTGCTAGTTATCACATGATGTATTTTGGAATAGGGGCTCATTTTATGATATGGTATCCTAGTAACCATGTACCCACAAAGGATGTGGATGGCATTCATGCATAAATAAAGCCCACATAGATTCTTAAGACTATGCTACCCTTGCTAAACAACATTACAAGCTATGCAGGACATATATATTATTCTAATCAGTTTAGATATGCCAATTTAGATCTTACTGAAGCACTTCAAAACTCTTAAACTGAGAGTAATGTTTTCAATTATAATTTTATAAGCAAACAGACTGTTAGTCAGTCTGTCAGTAAACTACTGCCCTGTCTTCTGGACTATAGAAAACCATAAACATTTTTAAATGGGACTCTTTCAGTGGAAAATAAGTCTTCTTTAAGTCCCTAAATCCTTAGGAAGATTTTTTGAGGGTCCCATCTCCAATTTGAACTCTCTGGGGAGCAGAGGATCTAAGCCACTGCTATGGCTTGAATGTGCCCCTCCAAATGTGCCCATTAGCTCTTGACAATGTGATAATATTAAGAAGTGGGAACTTCAGGAGGTGATTAGACCACAAGGGCTCCTGCCTCTGGAATGGGACTGAGTACCCATATCAAGGGTCTTGAGGAAGAGAGTGGTTCTCTCCTGCCCTTCTACCTTCTACCATGTGAGGATGCAGCAAGGTGGCCCTCACAAGACCAAATGCCAGTGACTTGATCTTGCACTTGTAACCTCCAGAACTGTAAGAAATAAATTTCTGTTACTTTTAAATTACCCAGCCTCAGGCATTCTGTTATAGCAGCACAAATGGTCTAAGACAGCCATAAATCACAGCCACTGCGGGAGGTTTCACCGGAACACTAACTTTGGGGAACTTGGTTGTGCAATGTCATTGGTGCAAGGTTCATGAAGATTTACATGGAAAGGTCACACAAGAGGGTCTGAGGTTGATTCATCATCACCAACATTCGTCTACCTCTTGGTGAGCTCAATGAAACAGGATCTCTTCTATTATTCAACTTGTAATTTTACATGGGATTTAAGATGTGGGGTCCCATTCAAAAATCCCTCAGCTTATAAAGCGTAATTTTTGGATAAAGACATATCCTTCTATTTGCCTATGCATGCCAATGTAGGTAAAGAAATACAAGTATTAACTGATCACAAGATTTCGTATTTCCTCTCTGAAATCACTTGGCATTTTGCAATCCGTGGCAGCAGTTTATTTTTCCTCACACAAAAAGCAGTGGCGCACTTCACCACCAATAGCTTATCAGAAATGATGATATACGGTAGATTTGGCCAAGAAAATTAAGCCCTTATTCTATTTCAGTAGAAAAAAATGAAAAATAACATGGAAGCAAATTACATTTTTAATAGTTTTTAAAAATGTCTCTCTAAGTTTAGACTGCTCTACATTAAGCAGATAATTTTCATCTCATCTCTTTCTAAGAGATAGATTTTTGGAAAGGCATATATAATTAAAGTAGTTAGATAATATATTTTCCATTTTCTATATAGTAGCTATATACATCAGAAAAATATATGGCTTCCTTTCCTGTGTTTTGCTCAAAATGACGTAATTTATTTTCTTTTGTTGCATTCTATTTATATTCCTAACTTATCAAAAGTGTATCTTGATGTGTGACAAAAAACTTTGGGTGAGAAGGAAGGGAGGGTTTTATGTAATGAAATCACCTCATATCAGAAGAACGGACCATGTTGTTAGCGTTTTGCTGACAGGATCCAGAGATCACATCTCAGCCGTGGAAGGGGGCAGCCCCGACACCAGGCCAGGTCCCTGTTGCCCTCTGACCTTACCTGAGTTTTGAACAGTTTTTGTTAAAAACTGTGCTATCAGCAGCAGGAAACAACCATGGTGACAATATTCTTATCAATTCTTAAATATCGGATCCCTCCATTTTTTGACATATATCTGGTATAAAGCAAGTGGTTGAGTGTGTATTTCCCATTACATAATTAGCATCCCTCAGATATACACTAACACAACCCTGGGTCCTAAACAATGACCTTATTGCTTGCAAAGAACAACTATGTCCTTCTTCTGTCTTTTTTTTTCCATTAAAAATGCAAGATTATATGAAGTCAATGAAGAGCAACAGTTTGACCTTATCTGCCTTCATTTGGATGCCCTTGATTTCCTTATCTTGTCTGATTGCTAATTGGTATTACTTGATCAACACTTGTGTGCACATATAGTAGTAACATTCATGGGGTGTCAGGCAGGTGGGAGGGGGTAAGTGGGGATGGGTATATTCACACCTAATGGGTGTGGCGCGCGCCATCTGGGGGATGGACAGGCTTGTAGCTCTGACTTGGGCAGTGAAAAGGCAATATATGTAACCTAAACATTTGTACTCCTGTATTATTCTGAATTAAAAAAAAAAATTTAAAAAATGCAAGATGAAAGATCTCCAAGATGATGTGCTGATTCTTCCAAAGTGCACATAACGTACATTGGAGCTACATTTCAGATACTACATGCTATGTTCTATGAAGCTACAAAGAATTTTAGGTGACGACTCCATGCTCTTAAATTCTGTTCAGAAATGAGAAGGGACTTAGCACAAACAATGGCATTTTCCTAACCATTTTCAAGAACATGTTTTAAGAAAACACTGCAGAAAGATTTGCTTCTAAAATCGTAGATCTAAAGTTATATAACCAACAGGACTGACAGCCACTTGTACAGGAACGTTTTTCAGAGCCGGAGTGTGATGACGCACATCCCGGCAGTGAAGGTCGTGGATCTGGTGCCAACATGTGGGGAACAGCACTGAGTAATCCCAGCCTTCCTCGCTTCACTGTCTGGTCTTCCTACTGTCAGATTGAAGGGTAGGCTTCACGGACACAGTTTAGGTAACTGAAAGAGCAGCTTCCATGGTAGGAAGCAGACTGCCCAGCATTGAGGTGCCTCAGGCAGAAATAGCAAGGTCTTCGCACACTGAGTGGGCCGCACCTCTGCCTTGCAGGGACTGAGTGGCAGACACCAGCTAATGGCAACGTGACTTAACAATTTTTCAATTATGTGGAAGTTAACAGCTGTTGCTCGTATTCTACAAGAACAAAGATTACCGGATGAAGGGTAATAAAGACAAAAACACAAAAACCACAAAAACGAAAAACAAAGCAAAAAAAAAAAAAATCCCCCAAATACTGGTTCTGACAAGTGAGGACCCAAGAAAATAGATTAGCAAAGGAAACTGTGGAATCTGTTTTTCTTGGATCCAGAGTCTGGCCCTAATACAGGCAAGTTTCCCCTCATTTCCACAGGGTTCAGTGTGGGAATACACTCCGGGCTGTTTCTCCCAGACCTCCCTGTGACCCGGAGCGGGATCTACAAGGCTGCCCCACATGGGGTCAAAGTAATATCCTTTAGTTTATTCTTTTCAAATCTTCCCTTATGTCAGTTTCTGGAATGACAGCTCCCAAAGGAAATTTATGGGTGTGGAAGTTCCCCTTTTATTAGTGCTATAAGGGGCACAATAGTCCACACCAAACTCTGGAGGGAAAAACAATCCAAGAATAAAACAGAGATAGTGCACTACATTAACAAACTAGCACTGTTTTCTCTTAAGACATATTGCTCTTCAGACAAAAACCTGTAAGAGCAACCCGCGTGACCCTCATGTGAGCTAAAAACCAGAGGAGTCTAGAGAACACAGGCTAGGTTTGCAGGAAAGGTTCTAATCTGAAGAGGCACAGACAGCACAGCAGTGTGGGTGAGGGTGGCCGGGAGAGCGAGGCTCGCCCAGCAGTGTTTCCAGAGCCTGGAGCAGGCGGGCGCTCACCGGACAGGCGGAGATGCTCTGCTCCCACTGCGTCATGCTGAGGCTCTCCTCCAGGCTGGTGCACGTCTTCATCACCACGTCCCAGCCGCAGTAAGGGTCCTGGGCCCCAATGCAGGCGCTGGAAACACACACCAAACGATCAACAGAAAGGTAGCTTTATCTAGGATTAGAGATGCCGGCCAAGGCAAGCCTGTCCCGCAGGGGTGGGCATGGGAACCTGCTATGAGAACCAATGGGCATATATTTAATCTGGACACTGGAGAACGTAGCTATCTGCACACCCCAGTGAGTATCCAATTAAAAGTAAATCACTTATGTAGATACTAATATTTTGAAAACTCTATATTTTATCTAACATACAGAACGGATGGCTAAATGAGCCAACAACATGGCCATTTTGGTATCATAAACAGCTAAAGAAAGAATTTTTGCAGAGCTCAAAAATATCAATAATATAGTTGTGATCAACACCAATATCACTACCTTAATAACAGGTATCACTTGTTGAACATCTGCTATATTATTAACTATGATACAAACTCTCATATCATTTAGACACTTAAACAGTTTGCTAGGTGGGTATTATTATTTTCACTTTATTTACCATCATCATCATCATCATCATTGTCATCATCACCCTCATCATTATCACCGATTTATTGATGAGAAAACGGAGGCACAGAAAATTTGAGAAACTGGCCCAAAGCCAAGCAGGCACATCCAAAACCCTTCAATGTGATTAGTTCAAATTCAATAAAATAGGAACATCTTCCTTTTGTGCACTGTAGCTTAAAAATGTATTAAAATTTTCAATAGTAGTTTCATATATTTATATCTATAATATCCAACATTTATATCAGAAGTATTATAAATGGTGGATATTTTATTTTAGCTTTGTCTACATGGAAGAGCTCATACACAAGATGGGCACATGAAGACTGTGCCCCCCACATGAAAAACACAAGAGAAGGTGAATAGGGGATGGGGGAGGAGAAGACACAGCTGACTGTGTTTGGAGCAAAAAATATACAGAAGTTGACACCATAGTCAGACAGGACACTGGCCTCCTGGAATTCTCTGAAGGGTCCCAGAAGTCAGACACGCAGGAAATGGATGTGAGTAAAGGCAGGCAATGCCCGCACGGGGTTGTGATGTCCTCTTCTCCGAGGTGGGACGCCATGTACAGGGAGGGAGGCTCCGTTACAGAGTTACCACCAACCAAGGGCAGGACCAGAACTCACAGCTTAACTACCACACATGGGGGCAGGGGGTAGCAGAAGTAATGTAAGTTGTTCATATTAACAGTTTGAAATAATCATCCTTAACACACCAAATGTGTTAACCATATACAATGCACTGTTCTAAGGGTGTGACCCATATTAGGTCATATAAACCCTATTACGACCTTATAAATATAGTATCTCAATCAGGTACTACCTTTATTCCCATTTTAAAATGAAGAAATTGGGGCAGGGAAAGGCCAATTTGAAAGCTGTAAAGCAAGTAAAGAAATGATTACAGATGATAAATCAAACAAAATTTGTTATTATTCAATTATTATTGATTAACTACCTAAAGAAGTGCATACAGAAATGGTTAAAAAAAAGGCTGCTTCTCAGCAGCAGTGCTAGGTTGGGGTGCAAAGTGGTGCTCAACAATTACCTGTCACTACAACCTCATTAGAACTCTTTGATATGTGACCACATGCATATGCTGCTGTCATTCAACAATTCAAAGGAGACAGATACAAAGGATGAGGTGAAAACCTTTCTTCCCCATTAATAGGTAATGTTACTGCCAGCTTATAGATTCTGGAGATATTTTCTCCATGCATACAAGCATGCTTGTGGGCATATATCTGTATACACACACGGACATATACACATATATGTTCTGTTGTTGTCTATTTTAATTATATGACTTATAACATTACATATTATATATAATTATATCTAATACACACAAATGTGATTGTACACACTGCTTCATGTTTGCTTTTTACACCTAATAATATATAATTGCACTATTCTTGTCAATAAATATAGTTCTGCCTTATTCCATAGTTGTATATTGCTCCATCTCCTTGATGAACCAATGTTTAGTTAAATTTCTCCTTCAAAAGCAAGGCTGCAGTGCTCATTGTTGCACAGGTTTTCTACATGATAAAATTCTATTAGTGGAACTGATGAGTTAAAAGTTATGGGTATTATCGACTTCACCCTGTTTCACTCTGGATGTTGCCATATTTTTTTTTTAACTTATCCCTTTCTGGTGATTAAAAAACAGAATTTCCCAGTCGTCTGTTTTCCTTCCTTCCTTTCTTCTTTTCTTTTCTTTTTTTTTCCCTTTCTTTTCTTTTACTTCTTTTCTATCTGTCTTTCTTTCTTTTTTTCACTTAGAGACAGGGTCTCACTCTGTTACTCAGGCTGATCCTCCTGCCTCCACCTTCCAAGTAGCTGGGACTACAGGTACATGCCACCACAACTGGCTATCTTTTTTTAAATTTTTTGTAGAGATGGGGGTTTTGCTATATTGCCCAGGCTGTCTGGAACTCCTGGCCTCAAGTGATCCTCCTGTCTCAGCCTTGTTTTCATTTCTTTAAGTTGTGAGTTGGATTAAGATTTAGCATGGGTATGTGTACCTATAGATCATTTCTATTTCCTTTTATGCAAACTTCTCATGCATATCCAACTCCTGCTTTGGTCTCTTTCATGGGCCATTGGGTTTTTTATTAATACATGATCATTGGAGGGGGAAATTTTTGTATTAAAATTTACCCACTTGTGGCCGGGCGCAGTGGCTCATGCCTATAATCTGGGAGGCTGAGGCAGGAGGATTGCTTGAGGTCAGCAGTTTGAGACCAGCCTGAGCA